ACGCTCCCTGCCACTGCGGGATGCGGGCGGGGCGGCGCGCGAGGCGCCGCGCTCCCGGCCCAACGGCCGCTGCGAGCGGTTGGGCGCCCTCGCTCGGCCCGCGGCGGCCTCCCTCTCCTGTGCGGCCCTCGGGCCACCGCAGGATCATCTCTTCTGCCCCCTCACCTCCTGTCATGGAGCCCCTTCCTTTTTTATCAGTTTGTAAAATAAAGGCGGTTACATCCTGTGTTCTCTAAAACAGGACTTGGTACTGCACAGGCTCTTGAAATCCTGAGGCGGGCCCCAGTGAGACTCCTCACTTCAAAGCTGTCTTGCTCGCGGTGTAACATACCTGATTTGGAAAGTTAGGAAAAGAAGAGGTCTTGGGTTTAAAAAAGGACTAAGTATCCAGTGAGGATCTGATCAGAAACCCGTTGCTTGAGAAGTCCACCTCGTCTACCTAACTGTTCCGATCTACGTTACATTTATCGCAATGTCTGAGGAAGCAGAGGCAGCATGGTGAAAGCAACAGGCTTGGAAAAAACACCCTTGAAGCAGCACTGTGAATACATACATAGGAGCGGGACTAGGGTGCGTTTTGCAAGCCCAGGGAAAAAGCTGGAGTTATAAATCATGAGCTGCTTTTGGTCTTTAAGCAAGCTACTTGGAAATACTGGTGGGTTTTAAATATCATTAATAACTGTCTTTTCAGGTATTATCCTTAATAGTACTTCTGCACTGAATGCTTCCTTTACTCATATTTTTCTAATTTCTCTTGTGCCTGTTCTTTCCCTGGAGGAAGTTATCATGTGAGCCGCTGTAGAGAGATAGTGAAGAATCTGCTTTTCACCTGTCAATGCAGCAGTCTTCTACAATACTTTTTTAAATATGACAGTCAGGAGATCAGACTAGCTAAAGCCATTCAGCCATATCGTACTACAGCGGTATAACAATACAAAACAAAAGCTCCACCCAGTGTTTACCGATAGGTAGGAGGTTTTCTATCTGCCGATTAGCCTAGCCTTCATGGAAACTACCATAAACCAGACCAGATAGTAATTAAACATAACTAATTCTCTTGCTAACCAAAACATGTCTCATGCTGTATAACCATTAACTTTTGCATTGTACAAAGCAATAGATAATACCAGATGACAGAGACCAAAAGGATAGCAGAGGTTTTGAAAGGTAAGACATTTTATGGCTCTATTCTGAATGGTATTTGACAATTGAATTACTCCTCTATGATTCTGTGCTTCACAAGTTACCTATTTATATTGAACGGTTTTGATCTTTGTTTGCAAAACAAATCAGCTTCAACCACTATTGCAGGTTTGAATATGAAGCAGTATTTTACTCTGAGGCCATGCCATTATCATCTTACAGTCTTTTGAATTAATGCACATATGCTAGCATTAGTAAGAATAAAATATGAAGAAATACATCTTAAAATGTAAATTCAAAACAGCATATGATGATAGCATTATCTTTATTTTCTGGAAGCAGAGCTGAGGAACAGAGCATCAAGTGATTCATTCAAGATCCCAAAAGGAAGTCTCTAACATGTTAGTTGAAGAGTAGCACGCAGATCTTTTGCTACCTCATTCTCTATTTGGAAAAAGATTCACACTTTCTGTAACACATAGAGCAGATGTTTTGGAATCTTACTTATACATTCATCTTACTTTGTAGATGAGCTACTGAATACTACTTAAAAAAATTTCAATACAAACTTCCCAGCCTCTCCCTTACTATACTTTTTACTTCGATTCATGTGAATAAGACCCAAGTATCTGTCAAATGATACACTTAGTCATTTCAAAATATGTTCACAGATTGTGACAATATATGATGACACATACACATTCCACATCTTAAATCACTTAGGAGCAATACACCCAGTGCCTTAAAGGACAGATTTGATCATATGGGATTAAATAAATAAGCGTAAACCTAGTATTCTTAGGATATGAATACAAAGCAGGGGTGAATTCACACAGTAATAACTGTTTAATGCACTGGCTGCCTGCAACCAAATTTGTCAAGGGGACAGAGAACTCAAAACTTGTTAAATTCCTTATGAAAAAAGACACCTCACTAGCACCTGCAGCAAGGAAAATGCTTCAGCGTAACACCCAATTTAGACACCAAGGAATTAATAGGTGAGGTAAAGGTCAAGACATAAATCCATAGAAAACCAAGCAGCCTTAGTTCTGCCTTCATCAAATGACCTAATGGACTTTAAAAAACCCTGTATAGTAAACTTAAAATGATCTTTTTTATTTTACAAAACAATACAACTGGAATCATTTCTATGTAGAAACTAAATTATTCCTAAGTCATTACACTAGCTGCAAAACTCCGGCAGTGGAAGACTGTACCAGCAGTTTTACATAAACATTCTTCAACCGTAGCCTTTTTCATCCAAAAGAATTTGCATATTGGTTCTACTGCAATTACAGTCTAGGACAACTGTTCATTTCTACAGGAGTTACACTGTCCTATTGAAGTCTATGAGTAATGACTTCTTCTTGTTATTTAATTAATAATCATTTATACAATTAACTTATCCAATCATTTGTGATCTCTAGGTTTTCTTAATACGTGCCTAACTCCTACTGATACCTGAAAATGATAGTGTTATCTTTATATTGATAACGCTATCGGTGTTAGTTGCATTCTCAGAGGAAGGGGTAAACAGACCATCTAGGTAACGTTTTTCGCAACTGAGTCCTCAGATTGTGAACCCAACTGACCACAGTTGGTAATTCTGCTTATTCAGAGGAAAACTCCAGACTAACTCCTAGAGATCACATCCCTCATTCAACGCATAATCCAGGTAGATTAATAAATCAGCTGTTACATTCTGATTAAATTTCTGGGGCCAGATTCTATCCGTGTGTGCTTGCGTTTTGCTTGCAATATAGGTACTCTCAGCAGCGATTATGTAGTTGGTCCATATAATTTGCTTTACAAACTCCCCAGAAGAGCGGGATGTTTCAGAACAAGAATAAGAAAAGCAGTTATTGCCTTATGAATGCAAATTATTGACATTTTTTTCCATAAAACTTAAAGAGAAAGGCCAAGCTTTCTTGTCCACACTTTCACTAGAATATGTCTTAATTAACAAAAATGTACTGGTCTGCTTTTCTTCCCAGTCTTTTTTTATGCAAAGTAATAAGTAAGTGGACTAACAGAACAGACTTCAGCATTTCAGAAGCAATTGGAAGATGCTAAAACAGCTACAGACACACTGTTTTCTAAAAATGAATTTAATGCTTGTGAAAGATGACTCTGGAATCTGAACTCCACTTTTTAGACAGACTATTGCTATAGAATAGGCTATGTGTGTTTATTCCAAATTTTCCTGCCAGGTCGCCCCAGGGTGAGGTCCTCTAAAAACCACCTCTTACAGAAAAGAGGATGCTATTTCCATCCCAGTCTTTTTTTTACAGTCTGTCAGTAGCACTGGAAGTAATAGCAAATGCACTAATGCCTTTCCCTGTGTTTATTCACTCACTGGAGACATTACTGAACTCTAACTGTGATTCAGAGGTCATTAAAGATCACGACATTAAAAAAATGACAAGATTTAGGAAGAGATACAAAGATTTTTGAAATTAACACTTCCAGACTATAGAATAAATAGTTTAGGTTATCCCATCCAAATAATTGTTGTCAGAAACTCATAATCTTAATGTCAGATATCTGTATATGGATCCTTATATTAGGAATTGTTAATTTTCACTTCTTTTGAAAATTATTCCTCTGTTAATACCTATGACTTTCCAATCCTACGTGCTCACATATACAAGTTAATCACTGGGATTTGACAGAAATTTTGATGCAGAAGGTATGTTCTGTAAATAAGAAAAAAATACTGAAAAAAAGTAGAACAAGGTACTCCAAGAACAGCAAAACTAATGATGTCTAGTTTCATATGGATTTGAGCCACACGTCCGTACTGCACTCCCCAGTCCACAATAATTCCAGCTATCCATCCTGCCATGGTTTTCCTCTGTCCTCCCTCCCAGCAAATGTTGCAGCTGGTCCAGAACTAGGAACATGCCTCTCAGCCACACAAGCCTCGAAGTAGTGAGCTTACCCTGAAGCTCCTTCCTCAAAGGACACCTTAATCTGAGTTGTGTCTCTCAACAATTGCAAATTTTCATAAAACTTGTAAGAGATTATTTTTGCACTGTCTCCTGTCAAATATTTGTCTCTCATCAAACTTGTCTGAAACTGAATGGTGGGCTCAACGTGGTTTGGACAGATAGAGGGACAGAGTAAGCAATTGTTTATCTTGTTTCCTTAAGAATACAGGCTAGAAATACTGGCACATGGGAGGATCTGTTGGTAGGAAACTATAACGGGGACACAAAATAAAACATCTAGTTAGACTGAAAGACATAAGAAAATGGTTTATTTGGGGGGCACAGTAATGTTTTATTGCTCTGGCAACTTTACATTAGCAAAACCAACTTAATATATTACATGTTAGCATACCTTCAGTATTGAAAAACAATGATTTTAGTGCAATGAGACTAAATAGAATAAATACTGTATTAGGATCTCAGGAGTAAAAATTCATACCATAAATATGTCTGCACATCTATGTAATTATATGATTTCTATTACCACAGTATCCAAACTCTCCAAAATAATTAAAATAGTTGAGCGTCTCTTTTTGTCCTCAGTTCTTGAAGGAGATAGAGCTTCATTTTTAAGTGAGTGTGCATACATACATATTTTCTTGCATGTATATGTAATGATCTTGGGAAAAGGCAACTCAAAAGAGAGTTTTTATTTTCTGATGATTATAAGCCTTGCTATATATGTTTTGATAGCAAATTCCAAAATTTAGGTCCTGTGTCTGCCAAAGCTCTGTCTCTCCTGCTCATTAACTCCTTCATTTGCCAAGGATTTTACAGCTGTAGTAGAATTTAGCTGTTGTGGGATATCACAACAACCTCTTAGGCACTTGGACCCTATTTCATGGAGGGCTTTGATTATCAGGGCAGACTTTGAAATCAAACTCTGCATTCAGGGCATAACCAGCTGAGCTCCAGGGCAAAGTTCTCATCATGACCTGTTGCTAAATACGCAGGGGTGCTGTGTTTTACAGCTGTTGGAAGTTTTTATAACATGGAGCTTTGTTCCTAAGTATGAGTTGCAGCAATGAAATATGGAGGTCAGCGATACAAACATAGCTATGGTCAGGAGTGAGACTGATAGGAAAGAACAGAATGTACAGCTAGTCATGGGAAGTACATTTTTGTTATCATGGCTAGTTGAATATCGATAGACTGGAGAGTCACATAATCCCAATGCTGTATACCAGCTTAACTATTTGAGACAGATGTTCTCTTGTAAAACAGTTCGCTTTCCCTGCGGGCAAAACCCCAGTCCCACTTAGGCTCGGTGTCATCCAGATGCTAAATCAATGTCAGACAAGCGCTAATTTTGGCAGGCTATTTAAGATTCAGCGTAATCCAGATGCTAATTTTGGCAGGGCACTGAGAATTCAGGGAAAAGCTGGACTTCTTCCAACTTCATATATATGTTCAGATGGGAGGACTAAGTTTTAGTTTTAAAGTATGACTTTTAAAGTTCAGAAATCATTGCAACTACCTTAATTAAGAGACCTTCAGACATGCTAGAACATTTTTTCATCTTTGAGGATAACAAGAAAACAGTATTTAGTAACCAACAATATAAAAAGTAACACAGGGTTGCAGGAGAATGAAAACAGACATTTCCTAAAAACGAAGAGCATTACATGGTGTCTTTGTATTGTGCATAGGGTTATGGAAGACCTGGTACGTTGTTAGCTCACAGGTGGCATTAGAGAGAATTGATTTTTCTAATTCTTCATAGGAATGATTAGATAGCAAAGAAGGTGTTCATGAGTGCAAACGGATACACTTTTAGATTTTAAGGCTCAGATGCCCCCTAGAACTTCTGGCTTATAGTTATTAATATGTTTAATTCTCCTGATGCTTGAGGGTGTAAAAGCAGATCTTGGGTCTTTGCCCTTTAACAAAATTTGATTCCCAGTCTACAACTCCGCATGTTTTCAAAATAAAAAACTTGTATGATTATGAAGGCTGGTTACTATAGAACTTGCTCAAGCTAAACTGCCATTGACAGTTCTTGTGTGTACTATGAACAGGATGCTGAATGCTGCCACACAACTTTAAATGTTTTCAGTGAAACCCAATTTAAAGTCTTCTTTTAAATCACAGACCAAAAAAACAAGTGTATCTTCAGGTATACTATCACTCATGGTTATGTGATTTTATTCATCAATATGATGAATGAACATTGATTCAGTATTAAATTCCTTACTTTAATAACGCCTATAAATATATTTACCTCTATAACCTGAAGCCTTTGTAACACTTCTTGAATACTGGAAGCCATCCTGTCACTCTCATTTCAGTGCAAAGCACGCTGCCTGGAATCCTCAAAGTGCATCTCAGATTCTTTTTCCAATGTATTAAACTTAAGCTGTCCCTAAAATTAACCTTTGCTTGAAAATCAAGGTAAAATGCATCTGATTTCCTCCCTCCAGGGACTGATGAGCCAGCTCAGAGATTTCAGGAAGATGAGCTCCCAGCTGCACTGTTGTAACCTCTGGTAGCTGTCATGAGCAGACTACGGGCTGCCTGCGGTTCCATCTAGAATGATCTGAAACAGAATTAAAAAAAACTCTGCTTATTTGAGTGTATTCACATTTTGAAACAAATTGGCATTTCATAATACCAAAGTAGTAGGTTAAAGTTTGGATATGATCAATTCCTGGTTTAGATAAATATCTAACTAGATAACGCAGGATTATTCACAAACAAACATCTGAGCATGTGAATAGTGAATGAGGTTGTGCCTTTCCATGTCAATAAAGACAGACACATAAGCACTTCAGGATTCAGATGTCTAGATAGGACAATGTGTCTGGAATACAAAACAAGAGAGGAACATTGTCTAAGAATTTGGCATGTTTTTATCACATCCTATCATATTTATTTAGGTGCTCAGTAAATTGTGAGAATTCTAATATATCTTTAAAGAAGTCATTTGCCATGATAAAGTACCAATGGGTGTTTGTGGTGGGTAATCTATATCTATGAATAATCTGCAGAAAGTAGGTGTAGATGACTAATGTCAGACACATCATATCACTGTCTTTCAGTATCTGCTTAAAAATTGCTGCTACCATCTGGCCACATCTAAACACTAAAAGTAAAAGTTTAAAAACCTCTTATAGGTGAACTGAAATTCATTTCATTTGCCAAAACATTGAATCTGATTTTTTTTCTTCTCTTTTCAGCAATGTCAGCTCTTTAAGCCAATCAGAGTGTTGTTTTTTCGGCTCTGTTTTAGATGTTGCTGATAACCACTGCAAAGAAAACAGAACCCTGAACTCCATGTTTGGCAAAACAAATTATTTCCTGCTCTGCTTTTTTAATCACTATCAAGTCTGTGTGTATTAGATTTATGATTTGGAATCTTAACTTCAAAACTGGGTAGGAATTTAAATAAGAGTAATTGACAAGGAATGTCAAAAGAAGATATCAGTTTTTCAGGAGTTTCTATGGCATTTCTGAACAGTAGTTCCTTATAAGAACTTTAAAACTATTTTACTTAAAAGCAAAACAAGCTCCTCCTCAGATTTTTTTTTTTTTTAATCTTAGTAAACATCAGGATATGACAAAGAGTCCTAATGAGGCCAACATGGGAGTTACATAGTGGACCAGTAAACTTCCCATTGTTCTCTGTAAGAAAACAAATATTGCACTTCTATGACATGATGCTGTCTGGCTCTCAACACCAGTAGAGTCTCAAAAATCCACGCAATTCTTGATGGATCTACCCGGGACACACTATGTCTCCACCCACTGTGGTTTTCTTTTAGGTTTATGGATATGTATGGGTAGGTTGCTTGGGATTGCCTAGTCCTAGACACTAGCATCTTAGAATTCAGCCTAATAACTCCTAAAAGGAAACTCCAAGCCAGGAAAGAGAGAACATCAAAATCATGATCCTTCAATCAGAATTAAGTTAGGAAAAGATTTAAGAGAGAGTTAATGGTGAGGTGTAATGTAAGACATAGTGTATAACACATTTGTTTGCCTAGTCACAACTGTCATCCTTGTCCCTCTCATACACCTTTCCTAGCCTCTCTCTTCTCCCTCAAGGATACAAATCCTCATAAATGAATTTCTGCAAGATCAGAGAAAAGGGAAAATGATGGAAACCATAGGAATCATCCTATGCATAGCCCCATGTTATGCTACTACTACTGACATTTCATGCTGCCTTCTGAAAAAGAGGCCTTATGGGTCTCACAGAATGACAGTTGTTTATAAATACAAAGGGGGTTACAACACTTAAAGGACCTTCTGCTATTTCTGATGACCATCATGGAAATAGCATCTGTTTCTGAATGTAAATAAAATGCATCGTTTTGGAGAAAGAACAGAATCTCCTTAATGGCTAGGAAGAAAACATGAAAAAAATCTCTTAGACATGTCAGAAGCAAGGGGTAACATTTTCAAAGGCGTTTTAGTAACTTAAGAGCCTAACTAGTGAATTCAGATCCCTACTACCAATGGCAAGCTTAGATGCTGTGGTTCTAAATCACAGATCCATGTTCTGACAGTTTTGTAAGCCTCACTTGTGCGTCCTGCCAGGGAAAAAAGGTAGGCACTCTGCAAGGATTATACAGTGTCTACTTTAGAGAACTGTATATTGAATTCAGGCATATTAGTAGAGCAACTCAGTACTCCCACATGCTGAATTTGTAGCTGCCTATAGTCAACACGTTTAAGAAACAGCTGGCACAGTAGCGTGTCTGCTCAGATCCCTGAGCAGGTCTGCCAGCATACAGAGAAATCCTTAATGGATGGTAGAGATTTATTAGTGGAGGAGGAGGAGGAGGAAGTAACAACAATCTGCACATTATCCTCTTGTGGAAAACAGCTAGGACACAGACATATTTGATGGTCTTTATCCACAGGCTGGGGTTCAAGTTGTTATCTACCAGGAAACTGTTCTGCCTACTGGGCTATTCTGTATGCCTGGTTAAGGGAAATTCTCCATTATATTTGTTGAAGCAGATCCACCATACAGCACAGAACGTAAAGTTTACCCAAGGAGAGCAAAAGCAGAAAGGAAGGACCAGCCTACTGTCTGAGGTCAATGGCATTTCCCTTAGCAGGGAGTGTTCTAGCCCCAACCATTCTGCTGCCAGTCTTTCCTCATCTAGATATCACAAAGACAACAGTTACAATATTTAGCAGAGCAATAACTAAGCAATGAGGGAAATGGCAGAAGAGATTTGCCTAACTTTGTTCAATCTAGATGTTTGCTGTCTAGTCTAAATTCATCTTCTCAGCTCACTTTGTAGTCAGTGGGGAAAAAAAAAACTTCCAGAGAGTGATCTATCCCATCCACTCGTGAAACCTATTTAAAGACGGATGAATTCCTCTGTTTCTCTGCACTTGAATTTATAGAGCAACGTGGTGGTGAGAGTATCCAAGCTGTAACTGGTAATGAAGATGAAAATATTAGGTACCTACACTTATTCTTAATGTAGCTTATGTACATTTGTACTTTAGGTACCTTATGAAAATAATATCTTCATTTAAAAATAAAATAATTCAATTAAGAATTTCAAAAATACTGGAATAGATGTCTATCTTGAATCCTGCAGGATGGCAGAAAAACCTCTACTACATTATACAGTATTCAGGTATTAACATCTTGTATTAACATTTTGTGGATGTTAGAGTGAAGAATTTTGTGTAAAAAAATTACAAAAATTTATTCCATATATATGGAATCATGTTAATGTTCATAACCACTTCATTGCTTATTACATCCTTGTTTTCCTCTTCAGCCTCTTGGAGTAAAGATTCTTCTGATCTTTTGTTTTTTTGTCCTTTACACTGTCATGAAAAATTGGCCTAGCATAATCTAGGGAACTATGTTAGCCAAGATTAACAAGAAGGAAACTGTATATTAAGAAAAGGGAGACCTGTTATTATTTCTTTGAGACAAAATGCGTAGAAGGGAATGAAATAAAATGCAGAAATGTGCTCTAGCTGTATTTCTTGTAATGAAACAGTCATTGAGAACTTACTCCTCTTAACATTAAGAGTAGTTTAAAGGAGAGGTAACCTCCTGAACTCAGTGGAACATCAGTAAAAATAAGAAGGCTTATTTATACACATCCTTCAAAGAAAATGAAAGTAGGGAGGATTTTAAACGGCACCTATTAAGACTGAATTTTCTTAAAAATGCAGGATCGGATTTCTTGCATCCAAATGTATGTTTCTATGCTGATATTTAAAACTGACCTCACCCTGTCCAAAACCCATGAGATATATTTCTCTGTGTGTTTTGGAAATGGGAGTTCCATGGACAGGCACACTGTTAGATGTGAATGTCTGCATGTAAAGTGGGACATGGATACCAATAACTGATACTACGCAAAATTAAAATGCCATCGATCTGAGAATAACAGAAGAGATCAAGATAAAGCAGGAAATGCTAAAAAAGTACTTGAAAGGGAATGTTAGAACTGCTGTTAGTAACTGCTTGGACATAAATGAAAGACAGAAGCTAAAACTAATGGGTCAGGAAAAAACAGCATATGACAGGCATATCTCAGAATCTGTTTGCTGGCTGCCATCTGAATATCTGTATCAGAAGCCTCGCAAATCAAAATAAATATTTAACTTGTAAATATGTGCTCCTACACTGCTTTGACATTCCCTTTCACCTATTTTTTTTTCTGAAAGAACAAAGAGTTCTTATCATCAATAATTTTGGAAGGAAATCAAGCACCATCCAGAGTTTTCAAGTTACCAGAAACTCTTTGTAAAGTCAATAGAGACTATTTAGGAATTACCGCGGGACCGTTTGACTATCTGGGAGTAATTCTGGGAGTTCTGAGCTAACAATTTTCCCATTTGTTGCACAGAAAAAAGGTATTTGTGAGAAAATGTTGTATAAAAGCATCACGCTTTGTTTAGAGAATGGAATGCTACTGAAATGGAGTTAAACAAAAACTGATCATGGGAACAAGTACTGTAAACTGTAATATTTTTGCCAAAAGGAGAAAAAAGGCTTGCTTGTTTTCTTAAGTAAACAGTCACTCATAGCTGTTACTCATACATGACTTGATTCTTGTTGAACAGTTGTTGAAGAGTTCATAATATAAAGACAGTATGTTACTCAGTTGAAGAGGGAAATTTATGCAACAAGCAACAACTCAAACATGCCTGCCATATTTCTTCTATGAGGAAAGAGAACGTAATTGGCAGCCTCTCTTCCCCTACTAACAGTTTTGTACAAGGGGGTGAATTCACCCTGAATTGTGTCATGCCTTCTGCTAAGTCAGAAGATAGAAGAGCTTTTAACTCTGGCTCTTAGGATGCCTTGCTTCCTGCAAATTTGACCCCAGCCTTGATGTAGGCTTATGGAGTAGCATTAGATTAGGAGCATGTCCCCCTATATCCTGTTTTAGTTGCTTTCTTTACTTTGAGGAGCCTACATTAATGTTATGTTGAAGTAAGCTGCCAGAAGTGGCACATAAATCTTGCCTCACAAATTTCCTAGTGAAGTAGTTGTTACAGCTGATCAGCAATCAAAGTTAACCATTGAAAAATAAATACTGTCCTTTGAGTAGGCACATTATGCATGAAGGCAATAATAACTACCTTAGCACTGATGTGAATGGATTCAGCTTTCACTTATTCAGGTAATAATTGCCATCTCAGCACCTCCGCTCACTTCTACTGAACTGCGCTGAAGAAGCCTTTAGGTAAAGCTTGGCAATATTAAAATTTCTTAATCCTCATTCAGTCTTTGGTCAAGGGTATTCCAGTGCTATAGAGATGAGCAGATACTTGATCTACAGAACTTCACACTGTTTACAATAGTCAACCAAAATGCTAAAAGGAATTATCTTCATCTACGTTGAAGAGAGTATCTATGACAGAATCTTTGATGAAAGTTATAGTCAGCATAGAAAAAAAGAAGTGCAATTTTCACTGCTTAAAAGAAAAAAACATTAAAGGACCGCAGCATTTCCTGGAAAATTTCTGCTTACCAGATCCACTGCTGCTTGCTTGAGTTATTTCATCATCATCATCATCATCACTATCATAGTTTAACGGATGAAAAGCTATTTCTGACTCTGTGTCTATTTGATTAGCATCTGATTCTTGCTCAGTAAAGCTTCGCAGTGCAACAAGGCGGTGATGTATTGCTGCATACAGGCATCCAGCATCTTTTGAGCTTGCCTGCATTAAAAAAAAAATGCATACAGTCAAAACTAACCAAAACAAAACTCTAACTACTTTGCAGGTGGTCACAGAAAAGCTGACTCAAAAGTTTTCAAAAGTAATGAAAGAGCTATGAATATGTTGTCCTTTTTAATCAAAACAATACATGTAAGATTCTCATTTAATAGTTTCAGAAAATAAATTTGAATTCAAAAAATATCAAGTTTCTTTAAGTGGTCTGAGTTTTACAGTATATTAACATGTAGCTGTTGATTGTTTTCCTTATAGATATAAGAAGCACAAGCTTCAAAACAATTGTCTCCTGGAGAATGGTTCAGTTTGTACTGAGTAATTGATATTTCAGATAATTCCTGAATGTGGTTCTAGAAGTAATAAAGCATTGAAATGTTAATCTATGTATTTGCATTTCTGCTTAGAGAGTAAATAAGAGTCAACCTAACTACAAAAATTTTATTCTTGGTTATAAACTTTAAAGATGCCATGAACTCTGTTGCTAAAGCTGATTGGAAGTTGGGCATCATCAAGAAGCATACCAAGAACACAACAGGGCAATATTTTGCTTAACATAAAACCTTAGAGCACCCATGTCCTGACTACTTTGTTCAGTACTGGTAATCGCATCTCAAGACTGTAATAGAATTAAAGAACGAATAGAGAAAGGAATGGAGCAGCTCCTTATGAAGAGAGACTAAAAAGGTTGAGACTCTTCAGTCTGAAAAGAAGTCTGAGAAGTGTATAATCAAGGTTTAAAAAAATCCTAAAAATGGTGGATAAACCGAACACGCAATGGTTGTTCAAATCACACAATACAAGGACTAGGGGACGCTTTGTGAAAGTACTAGAGGATCAGTATGAAACATAAAAGCACTTCTGTACACAGGGAGTAATGAACCTCTGAAACTTACTGCCTCAGGAGATTGTGGGGGCAGACAGTATAAACGAAAAATAATAGGCTAAAAATATAATACTAAAGGTTAAAAAAGAAATTAGATGAATTCATGGGCAATTACTTCGTAAACAGATACTCAAGGAAACAAGTAGGGATGCATGCTCTCACATCCCTAATACAACAGTCAGGGATGCTGGGGGAATGAGGGGAACACACTATAGAAGGTGGCTGTGTTCCCTTGCACTCCCAAAATAGGCCTCCATTTTGGCACTGTCAAAATACTGGGCTAGATGGACAATTGCTCTGATCTAGTAGGTTATTTCTTATGTTCTTAATGAAGCAAAGCGTTTACTAGAGGGTAACTGAGTGCTTATGGTCTTTTGTGGCCCAATTCTCCATTGTTGTGCATCATGTGGAGTTATTTCTGTCTGTCTCAATTGGCAATAGGAACAAACACATCTGGTTTGGATTGGAATGACTACTTTCAGTGTGTACAGGTGAAAAAGCTATGCAAACTGCAAAGCAGCAGCAGACCAGGGTCGTCATCTCCGCTACCCAAACTTGCAGCAGCTAACAGTTCTTTTCCCAAAGTCAGACAAATTCAGATTTGTTCAGGTGTCTCGACAGCAAATGCCCGTCTCAGTGGACAAATCTGAGCTCTCAAGACAACACAACTCTTCAGGAAATGTAGGATCATAAATATGAAAAAGGTAGCTACTCAGTCTGATCATTTCTATCTGTTGCTTTCAGCTTATTCATTCAAGGAGCAATTGTCACTTTAATCTAATATAAACTCAGGCTGCTGCCAAGATGGGTGGAATTACCTCCATAACCTCACCAACTCCTCATTTCTACCCTCTCCATTGTGCCAGCACCACCATTAGTGGGGTTACATGGTGAATCAAAATCAAGCCTAAAACCATATTTACCAAAAACAAAAAAAAAAAGAGGAAAAGCATTCAACTAGATCAGTCCTCTGATCTGTCTCACTTATAGCTGTAAAAATTCCAATGCCACTAGAGGGGAAGAGGAAGAAACAAGCTTTTGAGGGGAGGGGGCAGGGTCAGCTCTCTGCTCAAAGCTAGGTAAGTGCCACAAGACCAACTTAATGGAGTTTTGTGGACTCTCTGATTTATATTCAGCATAGTATAACTACTCTCCCTCACTCTTAGCAAGCCCTTTGAATAATATCCTTGAACAAAATGTCTCAATCATTCACATCAAAAAGAGATACCAAAGTTAAACCTGCTGGTCCCTTGGAGGAGTGGACTCCGTTGACTACTAGACCAGCCTGACGTACGTGCCAAGGCTTCGGTGATGCCTGCTGGCTGATCATGTTGCCTGCCACGCACAAGGGTCTCCGTGTTAGTTGGGCTGGGTACCATCTGCAGCAATGGATCGTAGAAGCTCCAATGATGACTGCAGAAGTAGCTTCCTGCACCTTTCACCACACTCATATAGCTGCCATATATCTTGGTTTCCCAAGGTATGTGTTTTTACTGTCCAGAAGTGCCAGGACAGAATTTGAGGAATGTTTATATCTCTGTATGCTAGAGCAATTTCTAATGCTCACATGCAGACCAGCTGCATAGCACAGGCACAGTGCCTTTTTGGAAGTGGTAGATGTACAGTGCTTACACATATAATACATGGCATTTTGCATGTGAACAAAGTCCAGCACTTCCCCTAAGTGGTGATTTACCATTCCTGCCCAGTGGGCTGAATCCTTCCTGGTTAGGATTTGGTGGGGAAACTCCAAACATCCTTAAACTCATGTGGATGCTCTCACTTCCCAAGCCAGGACCTCAATCCTGTATGTGCTATTCATTTGAACATAAGTCCACCACATTTCCATCCTCTGCTTATAAGCTCTTGCCAGATTAAACCAGGATTTCCAAGAGCATTGTCTTCTATAAATTCATGTCACAAATCTGTGTTCTCTCTGAAGTGCAATATGGGGCTCCTAGTCTGTATGGTTTATTATAAGCATTTTGTCCAGAACCACAGCAGAAAGCCGCTGCTTTACACAGAAGTAACTTATGGATATGTAATTACCTGTATAGAAATTCTTAATGCATTGTTTCTGTAAAAGGCAAAGTCCAGAACACTAACTGCTGCATATGACTCTGGAATGATTTGCATTTCATCAGTGGTATGTGAACCAGAGCCTGGAAATGTCTCTCCCAAGGCCGTATCACATCTTCACACCTTTTTCAGAAATACCAAGGGATAGCATTGCTACCTCATTTCATAATAAAAGCCATGTTAAAGTCTTAAGCCCTAAGTAGAGCCTAACCAAAAAAAAAAGGCAATTTGCTAAAACCAAAGCCTCAGCAAGTCTCCAGAATTCAAGGAGATGTAGAGATTTGAAGCAGGGGGAGTTATTTCTTGCTTACCTGTATTAGAAATACTTGAACAGAGTGGTCTTCTTGGTCTGTTGCAGTGAAGCACAGACTCTTTCTATTTGCTCTTTTTATCACCATTTGATCCCAGAGTCTGGTGTTGAGAATCAGTCTCAAACTGCCTTGATTTCGCATAACTAAAATAAAGTTTATATAATAAGTAATTGTAACTACCTTCAGTTTTATTACAGCAGTTTTCTCCAATACTTGTATACAACTAACATTTTCATCAGTTACTCTTTTTAAATTGGTCTAAAATCTGGCATTTTGAAATGATTTTTTAAAGTTTTTTTTTAAACTATCAAAATATATTAGTTTTTTTCAATACATTTGGCATACAAAACAAACAATCCAGCACAACTGTACAATGCAGTACAAAAATGGCAGCACAGTAAAAGCAACATTCCTGAAGTGACTTGACAATTAGTGCTCCCGGAAAAGCAGAATCAACAAAGAACAAACGGTCAGAGCAGTGAGTGAAATAAAGGTACTTTGCAGCAGAAATACACAGAGCCTAACAACATCAGCAAGTGCACAAACTGAGTGAAAAATGCTCAGGCAAGGGGGTGCCCCAGCTTGTGGGGCAGCTAAAACTATCAAGGAATGTTAAAAAGACTTTCAGCAACTTGATTTAAATAAAACTAGCTGCTGAGTTACAAACATTCTGAGATTAATTCATTCTGGCCAGCAACAATACAAGTTACTTAGCGTTTCATGTATGTGTTTAGTTATTTAATTCTTACTTAGCCTTGATTGCAACATTCCACGTTTATTGCTAGAAGTGTCATTAAGCCTCAGGGATCCTCTGCCTCTTTCAATCCAGGTTAAAGAAAACTTATTAAATACAAAGAGCTTGCAGTTGATCTAAAAAAGAAATGCATGATGAAAATCACCAGCCAGCACCAATTTTATTGGTTTTAAATTTCTATTTATATTTTTAAGCCTTTTGATAAGGCTTTAGATATATATGTGTGTGTATATATATATACACACACACACACATATAGATATACCAACACTATAGCTGACAGTTACTTAAAATGAAATGACTCCAGCTCTATGCTAAACTTACTACTAATTAAGTCATGGAAAACATTCAGCATGAACCTCAGTTTACTTTTTCAATTATTTCATCTTCATTAACTCTTCATCTGTGATATCCACTGACAAAGGTGAACTTGTTGCAAGTGATCTATAATCCTATTACGTTATTTCATTAAAAACCTTATGCAGCACAGCATATCAGTACTACTAGAGAGTAAATTTTCCATGTTCTGACAGGACAGAAGATTTAATCAGTGCTAAAATTAGCTAACTTTCAATTTTAAGATTTTTAAAATCATATACACGACTGCTATTTACTAAAAAAATTACAACTTGAAGATGAAGTATAGCAAGATATGTTCTGCTAGGCCAGAAAGATAATTTGGGTTTTAGATGACGTATAAAACTAATTACTTGGGTAACACATTGCTTTCCTTCTCAAAACATTTTGTCATAAAACATCTTAAATCACATCCAGTTTTGAAGTTTTAATTAGCGATGGTAGGCTCAGCAATCTACTGTGAATATACTCAGAAAAATACAACTGTAGAATGAAGTTTTGAAGCGTAGTCACTTACGGATAGGGCCTAGAGGATGAATAGATATCAGATGAAAAAAAAAGTATCAGCCTACAAAAAAATTAGTTAGCAGAGGCGTATCTAGAAAAGTGAAAATTTAAAATATTAACCAAAGTGATGTTTAAGTCACTGTAATCTCTAAAAGATCTAGATGTTATTTTTAACAAGAAAACTGCTTACCATGAAGGCTTTATGAAATACACACCTGTAATACATTGTGTTCTGCTTCTTCTCCAGTTATAATTTCAATTTTATCTAACAGAATTTTCTCCACTGGCTTGGAAATACAAGCAACTGCTGATTCAGTTAGTGTTGCATTCTTCATGAAACTTGTTTCTGAAGGATATTAAAAAAAAAAAAAAGGAAATCCTCACATTTTTGTGTAGAGGGAATATTTTTTGGACAACAAAACTAACGCATTTCACAGCCTGTGACTTCAGTACTCCCTGTGGTGCTTGATATCAATTAGTGTTTCGGGACAAAGTAGTAAAGAGAGGAGAAAAAGTTAAGGCTGGAATGCTGCAAAATGTTACACCTGTTCAGATTCATTTTGAGTTGAACAGGGCTCTCTACAGATGCAGAGCTTTGCCCCAAGGACAACTGGTAGGACCAAGCCGTAAATAATTAGAAGTTGAGTTTCCAAATAAAATGGGTCTGTTATATTGCTGTGCAGATTTATAAATAATGAAAGGCATATGTCCCAATAATTTGCACAGCAATACATGTACAATAAAGACCTGACACAAAAAAACATATGCTACAAGACAGTCATAGGTTTGCATCATCTAGATATGTTTTCCATAAGCTTTTGGTTTTTAGATTTGTAAGAACGTTCATACAAAGTAAGAGGCTCCAATACATCCATTAGTAGAGATGGGTGTAAAATTTCAGGAGAGGGCTCAAAACAGTGGCCTATTTGGGATTCTCCCACAGCCTAGGTTTACGTGGCTTGCCTACTGAAAAAGCTCACACTACAGTCACAAAGAACCCTGAAATCTGTCTGTATAGAAGTTTCAGTCCTACAAATTTGTACCCCATTAGGGTACCAATAATGCAATGCTGTTTATATGAACAGTCACAAAATACAAACAGCAGACAGCTTACAATTGTAGCTCAAGAATGTAGTCCAAAATGTATTCACAAAATTCATTGTACATTTTCAAATAACAAACACATTCGTAATACTCTATCCTTTCCCGAATAACTTAGATCATTCATTATGAAGTCAGGCCAGTTCTAAACCAAATGTCATAAAGCAAATCACAGCTGTTTTCTGAACACAAATTTTTGGCACATATTGCAGTGGGTGTACTAGTGACTGGATAACTTGAGAATTGATGAAAATTACTAAGCCCTACTCATTTGACATCTGCTAAGACACAGTGAAATAATAAAGCTAACTGTACTTGCTTGCTAAATATGCTTACTTGTTTGTGGATGAACATTAAAAGATTCTATGTACATGGATGTTACTTCTCCTTTGTATGAATCAGCTCCGTTATGTGTCTCGGGATGCTTTTCAGGACTCTACAAAAATATGGGGAGATGAATTCCTATTTAAATAAAATGGCTATGTTACTTCATATCAAGCAGAAAGTTGGATCATTTAATGTACATTGCGGTGAAGATTAGGAATTGTAATATATTAAGAGTAAAAACTGACAAATGATACAATTTCGGTCTCTAATGGAAGTAATTTTATTGTCACCAAATCAGTACTTAATTCTTTCACCAAGAATGGCTTCTTCGTAAGGATCCTGGACTAGGATTTAAATCCACAAAAGGACTTAAATGTTTAAGTACCAGCTAATTTCCAGTTTAAGCACTTATGCCCCAAAAGAATAGTTTAAAAACTCCCAAGCACCTTGAAATTTAACCATGGAGGAATTAAGAATCCCACTGACTTCCAGTTTTTGCAGATAAAAGTTTTCTAGACACTTTTAAATAAGTGCTTCTGACTATTGTCAATGCCCAGTGACTAAACTCCTAGCTTATACATAATTCCTGGTTGTAAATCATAACCCAGGCCTATGGTTCCCAAGCTTTTTCACTGACAGATAAGCAATTCTGTTTTAAGTGGTACAGTCCTCGGTTTGGGAACCACTTCTTTTGTCTAAGATTCCTTCAGGACTTGATCCATTTAGGTGTCCCACTGCATGCACAATATATCTTATGGTGGACAATAGCTAGGATGGAGCGTTCAATTTCCTCCTCCGCCCAAGAAAATTCATACTCATGTTTCCCATCTCTTAATAGCTGTAATGGAAACTACTAGAGTGGTGGGAACTGCATTCTGTTCTCTCCTGTTGTGGCTGTTCCACTTTGCATGGAATATTTAAACAATCCTGCTTCAGGTCAAAATATGAGCATAAGAGGAAAAGTGCCTACCAATACGAGCTAGTAATAAGAGTACTCATTTAGGATGGGAAAGATAGGGATGCCTACCCATCCAACATCATAGTTTTTTCCTATACACCAGACATTGGAATCATATTTACTCACATCTGAAAAAGAACAGAAGGTGCTAGAAAGAACAATCTCTGAGAAATTTTATATTCATAAATAGATTAATCCTCATAAGAGTCTGCCAGTATTTACTGATCTTACCAAAACTCTCTCAACCATGTTTTCTCCAAACACAAAATCAGAATTGCTGCTGCTTACTATACGTCTGTCTTCAACCTGCTGACTTCTATGGGAACAAAATAAGATAAGCACATGGTTTAGAACTTTGTAAAGAATATAAGTAAGTTCATGCATTTACTTTTCCACACCTTACACTGAAGATGAACAAGCAAAAAAATGAACTCTTTACGAATCAGACCAAGTCTTTAAGAGAATCTAAGACTATTTTCTACATAACCGTTCACAAAAAGAATGCAAGGTGTTACACTGGGTTTCATGAAGATTCTCAAGGATATTCCTTAAAAGCAAAGGACAGGAGCAAAACAGCATGCCTCCTCCTCAGGGAAGTATCTTACTCCACTAGATTTA